TTACCCTTGGAGTCCAGAGACTCTAGTCCAGCCGTGGGCAAACTACAGCCCGCGGGCCGGATCCGGCCCGTTTGAAATGAATAAAACTAAAAAAAAAAAAAAGACCGTACCCTTTTATGTAATGATGTTTACTTTGAATTTCTATTAGTTCACACAAACACTCCATCCATGCTTTTGTTCCGGCCCTCCGGTCCAGTTTAAGAACCCATTGTGGCCCTCGAGTCAAAAAGTTTGCCCACCCCTGCTCTAGTCTCTGTGAAGGTGTCACATGCCTACTGGGTCTCAGAACTGCTGTGGTCACTATTCGTGCCTTTCATGGTGTATCAAGTGGCTGCGTCCTGCTCATCGCCAGCTGGGGGAGGGGAATGAGGAGTTCCCTCTGTGTACAACAGCTGGTGGCCAAAGAATTGGGCCAGATGGGGACACGACTCACTCTAGCATTCAGAACAGAGTACCTGAAGTGACAAAGACACCCTAGACTGCGGCCCCAGTCAGCCAGGACTGGTTGCGTAGACTTGACCTTCACCAAAATACTTGAGGGAGTCGTAGCTTTCATACCTGAAGACATCCTTGAGAGGACCCAGTCCTTTCCCTGGCCTCTGCCCCCAAGACCCTACCACAGTGCCTCTCTTGCAAAGTAGGCATTTGGTGGGCGTTTATGATGATTGTACAAGCCCTCTGACATTGCATCACCTCAGTTCCCCATCCCTGGCCTGGGGAGCCCTCAGCCCACAGCCATAACATTTGCCAGGTCCTCCTGGGCCCAGCAGGAAAACCTACAGGAGTGCAAGCAGGCACTCTATGAATAGGAGAGAAGGAGATTCAGAGACAAACCCAGGAGACTGACTGCGGGCAGCCTTCACCCAACTCACAACAGGTCCGATGAGTGAGTGGTAGAAAGTGAGAAATGGGACTCCCTAATATCACATTAAATTCAGGGTTTTCATTCAAAAAAAAAGAAAAAAGAAAAAGAAAGAAAGAAAGAAAGAAAAGGAAGGAAGGAAGGAAGGAAGGAAGGAAGGAAGTAAGGAAGGAAGGAAGGAAGAAAGAAAGGAGGAAAAGGAGAAAAGAAATGTGGCTTCTACGCTAGGCATGGAACTTAGGGCTTTTGTAGTGGCATTAATCACCCCCATTAATACAAACATCATAAAAAGGAAATTCCATCTATATAAGCATTCACATTTATATAGCATAGTAATGTAACTTAAACATTTAATCTAGCATGTTTTGATTTCTAAGAGTTTAAAATTTATAGATATTATCAACTGGGTCACTAAAATTAAGTTTGAATACTCTAAACATAATGTCTAAAATTTAAATTACATTTTAAGAGCCTCTACATAACATTTGTGACAGGTTATGAAGCTTTCAGTCAGTAAAACTTTTGAGATGTATGTAATGAAGAGTTATGGTAAAACATTATCCAATCCCTATGAAAATAAATGTATTCAATGAACAGAATTACTTTAATTAAATCAACATTGTAGGGTAGTTTATAAGGCTATAGATAAAGTTAAAAGCATGGGTTAAAGTAACTCTAAAACTTAAGCCCAAACTACTTGTTATTGCATATCTGATCTGTAAAATTAATCTATAAAATGAATCTTTCAACCTTGTAGCAATCTTCTTTTCCTAGAAAGACAACTATTTGGCTTTTATGTAGGCTGAGATTCAGGATTAACATTATTTTAATAATACACCTCAGAAAAAGTATTTTCTTTGTAGAAATGAAAGAAAGGGGAGGCATGATATTCCATTTATCATATCAGAGAATTATAAGTGGTTGGTTCATAGAAATGTCATTTCTTTATAAGTACTTAGCAAAATATGATAGCATGTGCTTTAATCTGATGTGAAAGTTGATGAAATCAACATCATCTCCCGCCTCAGGTTTCTGCTTGCCTCCTACTGATTCAGTGGCATGTGTTATAATTTGTCTTCTATAAAGCTTTTGTTTCTTAGTCAATATGAAAATACATAATTTTCCATGCCTGTTCTCTCCTTAAGGAGCTTATCTACACTAATAAAAGAGAAACATGGTAATTGGTGTACGACCGCTACCCTTCCCATTGGCTAATCAGCATATCCTTATGCAAATTAACTGTCAGCCAAGATGGCGGCCGGCAGCCAGGCAGCTGGAAGCG